CAACTCGAGGTCGCAGCCTGCCCCAGGATGGGGGTGCTGGGGCAGCTCTCTGTGCAAGGAGCAGCCCCAGGGGCACTGGAGGGTTGGAGAAGCCCCCAAGGTCCCTGTGCTGGCTCCTGACCTTGCTGCTTGCAGCCACTGAAAAATTAAAGGAGCCAATATCGCTGCACAGCTGGAATCGCTCACTGCCACTGAGCTTAATTGAGGTTATTTGTTGTCTCTAAAAACGTATGGGCGGCTCTGCTCCAAGCTGCTCCGATGCTTCCCGCAACCCCAGCGCCGCTGAGAGCTCCTGGCTCCAATCCTGCCAGCATTAGTGCTGCCCTGCGGGGTCCCCAGGTCCCAGGCAGCGTGAGGAGGGAGGGGACACCTGCAGGCTCAGGGGATGAGAGGCAGGGGATGGAGATGGGCGCCTAGTCCTGGAGCATCTCCATCCTCTGGCAGCATCCTGCCCAGCTCCCTGCGCTGCTGCCCCGCTGCGTCCGTCGGGATGTGCGGCCGTGGGTGGGGGCTCCTGCCGTGCGTGCCAGCGCGGCGGCTGGGCCCAGATGTGGGGCTGACGTCAGGACCGGGATCAGCCCACTGGACCGGGAAGCGCTAACGTGGCCCCAGGCAGGCACCGACCCCCGGCACCTCCCAGCCGTCACGCGTGCATGTCCCCAGGCACCGAAGGTCATAGCAAGGTTGGAGGCAATAAAGAGGGAATCACCCTCCTGGCACCTGAAAGGGCCCCAAAACACAAGCTAAGAGCAGCCAAAAGTTTGTGTCAAACCACTTTGGGGGGCATGCACAGAAGTGGCCCTGCTCCTGCCGTGGCAAACATCACTGCTGTTTGTACCTACAGCTTTAAGTGCTACAGGAGAATTTGGCTAAAGCTGCTCTCCCAAAGGCTCCAGATCAGGTGTTTTCAGCCTCAAATTAGTGTTTCCTGTATTCAGCCCGTGCTACAAGCTGCCAGGGGACTTCAGCTCATCCCAGCTTTGGTTCTAGTGGGGATGCAGGCTGCTCCTGGTACCACTGTGGGCCACGAGGCCACAGAGATGGTCAATGACTGATCCAGGGGTCACACCAGTCCCCTAACGGCCAGCCCAGCACCCCAGTGCCTGCCCCATCCCTTGGAGCCCTGCAGTCCACGGGAAGGGGAGCAGGGCCAGGAGGCTGCGGTTGAGCCTGGAGGACACTGTGGCTTCCCCAGGTCCTTGGCCCTCTGACGGAAAAGCTGCTGTGGGCAGAGGGTACCCCGAGAGAGCCAGGGTGCCGTGACCTATCCTCATCCCTGGGCCAAAGCAGGAGAAATGCCTGGGAGTCCATCCCAGCATCCCGGTGCGGGCCGCGGGCGTGATTAGCCGCTAAACAGTGCCATCTCCTGGCAAAGCCCCCAGCCGCGTGGGCTGCCAGGGCTCAGGAGTCCAGCCTGGAGCCCCTTTGGGGCACTGCCAGTCCCACAGCGTCCCCTCCGCGCTGGCCCTCGAGCCCCTGCCGCAGGGGCCCTAGGGACGTGAGACGTGTGGCCACCCCGGGGCAGCTCCTGGGAAGCAGGACATCTCCTTTCAACCAGCAGTGTCCACAGACTACCTGGATGGGGCATCGCTTGGAGCTGCTCAGTTGCTGCCCTCACTGTGAGCTTCACATCAGGGCTGCAAGATGGTGAAACCCCCTCGTTGCAAATCAAAACCCAGAGCAACCTGTCCATCCCACAGAGCCGCTGACGTCTACCCCCGGCAATTTGGTGACTTGTGATGGGGATCACGAATTAACCATTCTGTGATTCTGTGATCTCTGCGCTCCTGAGCCTAGTGCTGGTCTCTCTGGGAGGAAACTCACACTGCTGCGACCTTGCTTTGCTAATGGGTAAACTGAGGCACAGAGCAACCCAGCGTTAGGGATTCAAGCAGCATCAGGGAGGCATGTGGGGCTGAGCGCCAGCTTCATCCCTGACCCACATCCCAAACCAGTCCCCGTCCAGTTTCTCTTATGGCACCTTTTCACCCTGCTTTGTGGGTTCAGATAGAGAGAAGAGAGCAAAAGCACTCCCCTGCCTCCCTGCAGCATTTACACCACCCGATAAATAAAAAGGAAATAAATCCTCCTGCGTTTGCAGCAAATAGGTCTCCACGGGGGGTGGCTTTCAATAATTCAAATGCTGTTGCGGAGCAGAGCCCCCGCCAGTGGGTTTTAATAAACACAGCCATAATGTGACATGCAATTTATTATTAAGCTTAAAACAGGAAGCTAAGAGTTTAATAAAAGCACAGGGCTCCCTGTATCAGTCACTGCAAGCAGTCAGGGCTGCTGCCGCTCGGTTTTGCAGAGACGAGGCTGACTGCAAAGGAGCACAAGCACCTGGGGTTCTCCTTGTGTGGTGTCCTCCAAGATGAGAGCATGGGGACATTTGGTGGGGGCACAGCCCTGAAGCAGCCCTCAGGGACAAGACCTTTACACTATGGTGCCTATAGTGCAGGTTAAACTTCCCTCCTTCCTTGTAGTCCCAAAGCTCACACCCCAAACTGCCCAGCTGGTGAAACCCATTACAGCCAAACACATCTACACCTGGGCCTTCATTTGCCTGCTGGTTCCAATCTCAGCTTCAGCCCTTTGGGTTCCCTACTAGGAACTTTCTGGGAAAGAAGATAAAAACAACATAAATTCCCACCCTTCCTTCCCCAGGAGGTCCTCTTACCCACAGCCCTTCCTAAAGCAGCTTCACCTGGGTGACTCTGCCCCCCTCTCCCCTCACCACCTCTGGCGCTGCCTTTAAAAGCAAGCACAGGAGGGCTGAAGATCCTTTCTACTGTCCAGGTTCTGCATTTGCTCTGATGGAGACCAATACAGCATCTGAAAGAGAGGTCAGAGGTGGTGGAGGAACTGTTCCCTGTGGAAATGGGGCTTAGGTGGTGCTAGTGGAGGGATGTGCTGTCTAGCCTGTCCCTTGTATGTGACTGTCCAGGGTGGCACTAACTTGAGGAGGACCGAAGAGCCAGCACAACCCTTGGCATGAAGCAGCAAGAATGTCCGTGGAGTGCAGGGGGTTCTTGGCCTTGCTTGTGCTCAGCTGTGGAAAGGAGCTGCCCCTGCAGTCCATGGAGATGCTCCGGTTACATCTCAGCTTGTGCTTCTGTCAGCGTCTGAACTAGGGGTCAAGGAGATGAGACTGCAAGGCTGGAGGGTGCCAGGCTGGGGTCTTGTGGGTTTAAGATGGAGCTAGGAAGGGAGGGTTGCTTGGCTGTACATGGGAAAAGCCCTTTGCCTGTTTTGACTGCTAAAGCCAGGGCTGTGGGTGCTGGAGGTGGCTCCGGAGTCCTTCACTTGGCTTTGGCCTTGT